GGAAAATCAAATACTTATCCTGCCTTTTCTACACTAACTGTATGTTAGAAAACAGCATAAAACCTAAATGTGATTTATTCCCACCAGGAGGTTTAAAACATTTTAACGGTAGGGTATTAACAAAGGGCCACGTGGTGGAAGCTGCTCAGGCTGAGAGTGGGGGTGGGACTTGACAAGGGCCTGGCTATACCTGTTTGAGTTTTTTAAAACTACCAATAAGATTAAGACAAAGTAACGGAAAGATATAACTGGCTTAGGCGACGTCCGGGAAAGAATGTGAACCCTGTAGTACTCAGCCAATGAGGAACCAGGGGAGGGACTCGTGCACTAGGAGATAAATTACTGGTGCCAAACTCCTCAGGCGTCCCTACTCACCAGACACCCGATCTTGCCATATCGTCATTAAAGCCTTGCTCCGCTGTTCTCTTTGTCTCCGTATCCACTTACTGAATATTGACCAGTGAGTGTGTTTCTCACACTGTACCACTGGTAACAAACAATACATTAGAGGAATTGTCTCTGTGCAGAAAGATTCCAACTAACAAGTGAAAAACATGAATTAGAGTGTCACCCTATTGTACCCTCTAGTAAATTAATAGTTATAGGCATCATGTATACGTGGCTGCTAAGATCATAGAAAACACAACCAGACATCAATGTGCCTTCTGGTGAAAGAACACCCTCCCATCTAAAGTCTTGCCAAAAAGATCCAAACCTGTGTCTCGTCAAGATGATTTCTAGATCCAGGTACTAATTTGCATGAAATAGGACAGAGAAATAACACATTGCACGTGAACTGAATCCTGAATTCGCAGTCAGCATAAACTTAAAAGACTGGGAAACTCGATAGATCAAACATCCCAGGCTCTGCAATAGACACACTGTAAGGGAAAAGGGGGATTATGACGGAATCTACAGATTAAAAGATTTAAAACGCGTATCAGCAAAGCTTTCTAAAATAACAGACAAGACTATAACATCTAAGGACGTGTAAGTGGGTGATAAAACTATAAAGGCACGCAAAGTAGTGATTACTATGGAAGGGTAGTGAGTGGTACCTGTGGAAGGAGGAAGGTCGTTGGGGTGGAGGCAGAGGCCATGGAGTACTCGGGTGGCTACAAAATTCTATTTCTCCACTCGGATGGTGTTACAAAGATGTTTTGCCCACTAATAATTAACTATACATTTGGTTTGGGTGACTTTTCTACACATCTTTCTGAAAATTAAAAAAAAAAAAATTTCTTTAAACCTCTAATACAGGGGTTGGCAAACTTTTTCAACGGGCCAGATAGTGTTTCGGACTATCATGTAGGCTCTTGCATAACCATTTAAAAATTCATAAGGACAAATAGGAACCTTGTGACCCTCGAGGGTGCGCTAATCCTTGAATTCCCGATCTCAGGGGGCACCCACGTCTGGAGCCCCACCATCCGCGCCCTGGTGTGGGTGCCGGGTTCCCGCGAGCGCAGTTCCCCCCCGCCAGCCCCAACCCCGGTCCGGCGTCTCTTAGCAACAGGAGGACGCCACCGCCACCCTCGCTGGAGCCTAGGGTGCGCGGAGTGGAGCGAGCACGCATGCGCACGACTAGCAAGGAGCCGCCAACCCGCTCCGGGAGAAGAGCAGCGCCGCGGGGTACGCCAGCCCTAGGGCGGGTATCAAGGAAAAGTCTGGGCCCCGACTCTTCCCACTAGTCCTCTGCCATTCTCCTGTCCCTACGTACGGTCTAGTTAACTAGGGAAGCACCAGCATTGCCTGGGAGCCTGCTACAAATAGAGAATTTCGACCTCACCCCTAACCTACCGCATCAGTGTCCCGACTTTTTAACGAGATCCCAGGAGATACCTACGTATTAACGTTTGACCAACTTTGCTTTCACAATCCAAGAAAGGCAAAGCCATAAATAAATAAATGCGTCAAACTGGGAACACCTCTTACACGCTGAACGTTTAACCTAGACAGTAAAAAACAGCTGTTACGATTTTATAGAAGTTTCCAAAGCTGAGTTCCCTAGCTCAGTAAGGGGGGAAATTCCCTCCTGTCTCTTCTCACTATCAGTCCAGGACAGAATGCATCACTAACCTCAGGGTTCTGCTCTCAGAGCCAATGGGAGAATTAAGAAAGGAGAATTTCCATTCCCACAGTAAGGGTGTAGCTTCTGAAGAATTAGGTGGAAAAGACAGGGCTCAGAGAATGGGTGCCAAGATAAGTTAAACAGCAACAAAAGGGCAATCCCAGACCTACAGAAGGCAGCACCAAAACTCGGCTGCAGGGCTCCCAGAAAACAGAATCCATTTGCATTTTAAACTCCAAAATGAAAATCTTATGAATACTAAAACAGTGGATGAGTGAGTACTACTGAGAGAAGTTCCCAGGTCAGAAACTTCCCAGTCTGATGAGTTCTCTCCATAGCTTTCTATCTTGGGAAACTGCAGACCTTAAGTTTAACTTCCTCATTCGATGACATGGCAAATCAAAACAGACACATCCCAGTCCTATAAAAGCCACTTTGCTTCACCAGGAAGAAAAAAAGAGACTGACTTATCAGAGAACACGAGATATTAAGTTTCATTTAAGAAAAGAAAATCATTTTTTAAATGGCAAAGACAAAATAATGAGAGAAAAAGGCTTTCTTCAAACACAAAACAGTTCAAAAAATGCATTTCTAAAAATTCATGTCACATACAACACGGATCAACCTTGAAACATTATGCTAAGTGAAAGAAGTCAGTCACAAAGGACCATATATTGTATGTTTCCATTTATATGAAGTGTTCAGAATAGGCAGATCTATACAGACAGAAGTAGACTAGTGATAGGGTAGGCCTGGGAAGGACAGGAGGTGTGGGGGCTATTAGCTAAAGGGTATGAGGTTTCTTTTGGAGGCAATGAATATGTTCTAAATACGATTATGCTGATGGATGACAACTCTGTGAATGTACTAAAAGCCATTGATTGTAGGCTTTAAATGGGTGAACTGTATAGTATGTGAATTATATTCAACAAAGGTACTTAAAAAAAAAAAAACAACCATGACTCCACCCAAGATCTGCATTAGTCTAAAAACACTGAGTTTCTACTTAAGGCAAGGATTTCCTGGGCAAAATCTGGAGGAAAAAAGAGTTGATGTTAGTACTGTGTAGAGACCCCAACTAGATTTCTCTTGCAAAACACTCCCATCTCAGTTTGGGGAAGAATTTCAGTCTTATCTCAAGATCACCAATCTCAGAAATTCCCATCTGGCTTAACTTGAAACACTTGAAAAACCAAAACAGGCAAAACACATTTTCAAAACAACACCTTTAATCTACATGGCAAGAAAAGAAAACAAAGGACCATAGGATAGATGCTTTGGGCTCTGTCAGAATACAAACTTGAGAATTCACTATCACTATAGAAACTAAAATCCAAAAAAAGACTGGACATTTCCCAAGGAAACTGTGTTTTAAAAGTCCCTAAATAACACAACTCACAAAGAATGTGGCCAAAAGAACCTAGCGGGATGGCTGAGGCTCAGTAAGTGACCGCACTGATCTCAGCTCTGCTGCCCCACGGGGCTTAAACTTTGGCAAATTCTCTTCTCGACCCATTTAATTTCCCAAACCAAGAGCAAAGGGTATCATGCGAAGTCCCATGAGCACTTTGCACCCACAAGGGCTTACATTGGCCTCATGGTCACAGCTGTCACTATGGAGAGAAAGAAGAGGAGGGAAGTAGAACAGGTATCTCTCTTACCCTACAGCAAAACACACAAAACCGGGCAGCATTGGGCGGCTTAGAGAGAGAGAAACCTCTGCAGCTATAGGCCAACAGCTTCCTCCTGCCCTGATGATCTGGATGCCATCTAATCCCCAGACAAATTAAGAGACCAAATGTTATTTAGCAATTAGTAATGGAGCAGATGCTGTTTGCTAGACTCCTGCTCTGAAGGGTCTGTTTCAGTTGTTAAAAACAAAACGGTCATTTCCAATGTCAAACACAAAAGGAACTGGAAAGTGCCTGGCACATAGTAGGTATTCAGTAAATATTTGTTGAGCGCCTCTTGAATGAATGCAGACATTACTCCCCTTGGCACTCTCTGCCTTCCTCCCTAAGCCTGGAAACACACACACACACACACACACACACACACACACACACACACACACACATACACACA